GGGGTTTTCGATCAACTCCCATATATATATATATATATATTTTTTTTCCGTAGTGTGGTTTAGTAAGTTTAGTATAGAATCATAGAAGAAAAGACTGACAGAAGTGGGCCAAAAGGTGTTGACAATGATTGTTGACATAAGATTTGAGCCAGGCGAGTTGACACCAAGTTGATTTCTGACTCACACTCCTCCAGCGAGCCGAAAAAGGTGGTCACCTCCACCAGGCACCTTTTGGATGGTGGATCCTTTTGGATCGGACGGCAGCCTGGTGGTGCAGTGGTGGTGCAGTGCCTTCAACCATTCCCATCACCGCGGAGTACACCACTGGAACATCTATGGAACCGCTTGTTCGAACCTCTGGAAGAGAGTGGAGTCTTTCGATGTCTTTCGTTGTTTCGAGGAGAGGCTTGACCGGAATCATCCGTGGAATCATCCGTTTTCCCCGGCTCCAACTGTGTAGGTCCAAGACTGCAACACCTTCCCAAGTGACCTCGTCAACCGAATTAGAGGAACCTCACTCTGAGCTGTGGGGAGCGCACCCGTGAAGGGTTAACTTCGGGGCTTCATGTAGACGGTTGATTCACACACAACCTCCCCGTGAGTGGTAAGACGTCTGAAATATGGGGGGTTGATTCGTCAACAGCCTATACACGTATTCCGCATTACAGGGATGTGGAACCCATCATCAGCAATTAATGTGAGACTTTAGGTCACAAAGAGAAGATACCATTCATCTTGTGAGGGACTGCATGGGCCCCCGTCCAAGCAAGTGGCAAGATCTGCCCGAGCTCTTCTCGGACCTGCTCCGCTGGCAGCACACCTTGCAGCTCCTTCCGCCGCCCATCCTCCGCTGGCTTCGCTCGGCGGAAGCTCCGCCGCACGACCGGCGGAGCGTCCGCCGCAGCGCGGCCTGGCAGGGAGCGATGTTGAGGTGAGCGTATAGCTCTTAGGGCAAACTTGATCAATTCCCACCAAAACTCAATGGGACTGGAATATATGCCTCCCTACCTACCTGCACCCCTGTTCCACCGACATTCGTTGGCATGTCTTTGCTTATCTTGCGAGCTGATATCCACAGAACTCCACTGGTCCACGGGAAGTCAAACAGCTGCCACGGTGGGTGACTTCGAGAGTCTGTCCGACACGTTGATCTGCACAAAACGCAGGGTCTCGCTCTCTCTATGATTCTAGATGTATCTATGCATGCACACAATACATATGATTTTGATTGATTTTGTATGTTTCAAGATATTTCGAGCATAGCTCTCTCTCTCTCTCTCTCTCTATAAAATATGTAATTTTAATTAACATGTTTACAGTGAGCATCATGAAGCAATGGCTCAGGCCAGGAATGGAGCCACGATTTACCGGCCAGGAATGGAACCCCTGTTTTAAAGTTTAGAGATTCAAAAATCCATCACAGGAAACCACGAAACACTGGTACCAAAAGCTATGATACGTTGCGTACAAACTGGCAGTTTTGGAGAACAAACATGTTCATGACCTTTCCTTCCGGGGGTTCCAGGTGTCCGGTGTCGGTGGTTTACACGCAGGGTGAGTGATTCACAGTTTTTAGTTTGAAGGCCCCAACAAGCCTCCAAATCTAGGACAATGAGATGCAGGACACACACACACAAACATCTACGTAACATACTATGACAGATTCTTACACAGCAGCTTCATAGAACATCCTGACGTGGAGTTTGATTGATGGATGCACTCTGGCTCACCAACATGAAAAGAGGCATGGCATCGCCTCTTGAAAGGCACTTGTCCTCTGCAAACAAGAGGCTTCCATGATGGAAAGGGGTGAGATATGCTACCCAAAAATGCAAGGCGATCAAGAATGCACACAAGCTTTGCAGAGTGCAAACCATGTGCCAGCTACACATTCTGAAACTTGAAGCCAAACAACAGCAGTTGCTAGTGCACTTCACATCGCGCGTGCCTGGTTTCTTTTCCTTATTGGCATCTGCCAACCTCGGAAAAGCTGGGCTTCAAGATGCTTTCAATTAATGTCCCTTCATTCAAGCGTTTCCTTTTCAACAGCAACCAAAGACCCGAAGACCCCGCTCCGTGAAGCCAAGCAAAGTAACCCAGGAATGCAGGGTAAACTAAGCGGATCAAAAAAATGAGTGGAACAGAATGGTGACCATTTGCAGGAAATTGATGTTTTCTTCTACCTCGGACCATGGTGCTTAGGATCCAACCCTATCCCAACAACATCCAACAACTATCCCCACCTGGATCATCCAATGGGTTTTTTCAATGGAGATCCCTAAGTCGTGTAGGGTAGTTCATTGGATATGCATTGGATGGTCCTAGGGTAGTTCATTGGATGATATGCATTGGATGGTCCTGGTATACCAATGAACAAATAAAGACCTACTACTCTTGTCTTTTTCTTAACATCATTCCTTCAGCTCGTTAAGAGACATCAGTCAGTGCCTCTGCACTGGATAACACATGGTGCTCAGGGTGCTCAGGGTGCTTTCCTTGTGAAACCAAGCCACTCAGACAACACACACACCGAAAAGAAACACATGCGCAAGAACCGCACCCTGGACGGGTCGCTCGTCACCGGTGGGTCGCACCAGGGGGACGGGTCGGTCCAGGTGACATCCAAAAGACACATCCAGTGTTTCCACATGTTTCCACATTGTTCCACATGTGTCCACCTTCTTTGTTTGAATCTTGAAAGAAAAATCAGCTTTAGAAGGAACACGGGATACTCCATGTCATTGTAAGATATTATCAACGAGAATGTGTGATGTTTGCTTAGCTGAATCCTTTATACCGTGCTATCTCTCAGACCTGCTAGCTGCTCTTCCTGGCGCCCCCCCCCCCAGGTCCCCATGCTTCACTCGGTCCGTCCGGACGAACGATCTCGATCCCTCGTCCACCAGCCGAGCCGGTTGGGGAAGCGACCCGTGGGGAAGCTTTGAAGAGCTCCCTGAAACAAAAGAGGACATGATGGGAAAATTTTGAAAATGATGGGAACATGTGGATCTCCCCTCCTTAGCACCGTCCTGAGCGAAAGTCTTAAGTGTTTGTTCTTGCTCCATCCAGAAGATCAGATCTGGTTCATGTCTCAGCTGAGTGGCCGACTACATCGGAGCACTTGCGCTTGCTCCAGATGCTGTTGCCAGGTCTCAAATCTCGACTCACTGGGCAAGAGCCGGGCGATCTCGTCCTCGTCGCCTCCAGTTTGAGCAGAGCAACAAAGCTCCACTCGCCAGGTATACGAGACCCGCCCAAAGACGGGAAGAGCATCCCTTAGACTGGGGTAGTATCCCCAATAAACCCCCCAGGGTCACAGCTTCCTTATGGGAATCTATACGGAAAATTCAGGCCATCAAGCGGATTTTCTCGCATCCCGAAGCCACACCATGATTCTGTTGATTAGCTTACCATGATTCCAACACCCAAACGTCGTTTCTTCACATGTTGGAACGTCCCCACTCCTTCCCCCCCCATCCATGGACCAGAATTGCGTGGCTCATGCACCAATCTGACTCGATCCAGGGATCACACCTGGCACCTGGTGAGATGGGTGGAACAAAGACAGCAACCCCAAGGCTGGAGGTGGCTGCTAGGGTCCCAGCTCCATGAGATCACTGAGACAAAGATAATCAAAATTGAATTGAGTACTGTTTCGTACCATCTCGGTGCGTCCATGTGCGTCCTATACATCAAACTGCACGAAAAGCTGGCTCGAGGCACACGTTTCCACTGCGTTGCATTGCGCCCGGATGGTCCTTGAGAAACTGGGGTGGATCTTCGTAAGGAACCGGTTCCGCATTAGCGAATGTGCCAACACCTCCGGCTGATGGACTGGTGCATCAAACATTTGGAAATCATTCGAACGGACCTGCAGCCTCTGTTTGTACCCTCTATAGGTTGCAACCACATTGCACTGGTCATGCGAGTTATGCCTCACACACCAGGGACACCAGCGACAAACACACCAGCTGGATCCACTTTTGGGCAAGTTAATCCCTGCAAGTCACTGGTTTGCTTGCCCAAACGTTGCAAGCGCACGATCTCATGCTTCAGCACGCTGGTCCTTCGTCGTCCCGTCTCGGCTGGTGGAAAACATCGGAAGCCCCAAATCCGTTTCAGAACTCAAAGGAATGAGGGAAACAGATATTCCAGGTATGATGTGTCCAGTATATTGTATCCTATACCCAGGGCTATAAATATTCCTAAAAAAAACTATTCCAACACAAATATTCCATGAACTCACGGTATAACCTGGAATGTTGACCCAAGGTACCCCCCCATGTCAAGGACCTCATTTGACACTACTGACTATTCATGAGGTTTTCAGGACCAGGTGTTACCGGGTCGGACTGGACCTGTAGCGGAAGGTTTTGAAAACTTGTGAGTTTTGCCTGCTGTGCTGACACCATGTTTCAACTCCAAATTGTGGAAATTGCTGCCGGCTTTGCCGGAGACAAACACAACAACACACACACCAAGCATTCTCCGATGGGTCAGCAATGGAGGTCCACGAGTCCTTGTAGTCGATTGGTGACGGAACGGAGGATCCAATGATCCAGGTCACGCATCGACGCATTTCTGCCACCAGTTCCACAGTCTTCCCCTCAGTTATCCTTATTTCACCCTCCATACCCCCTCCGGAGCGATGTTATGGTCCTACCACTCCAGGGCTTCCCCAGGGAGGCCCGGCGCTGCTCCCAGGTGGCCGCCCAAAGCTCTGGCTCGTGAGGGTCGCCGGCGGGCACGCGCATGTACCAGCGAAGGCCTCCCGCGAGTTCTCATGGTGAGGGCTCTCACCATCCATGTATGGAATTGTTACAGTTACTTAGCTCTCTGCGGATGGGTCATAGATATGGGGTAAGTGTATGGTAAGTGTATATGATAGTATGCCACCTTCTGACTCCTGACATCTGAATTTCGCTGTCTTTTGTGCATCTTCTGTTTGTGGGGGTTGTTTTCTCCATATTGTGCCCAGAGTGACACATATGCTATTGTCGCGTCTCACCCGGACCGCACAATGAGAGAGATAGTATATGATAGTATGCCACCACCGGGAGGGTGGTTTGTAGACCATAGACCCCCTGACAATGTATTGTCCATTGTCCATCCAATAACCACCCAAACTGGATGGATGGTTAACTTGCTCCGTTCACCTGCCGATCGCCCCCCCTCCAGATCAGATGAGTCCACCCCGATTGGAACAAACCATGCCATGGGGTGTCTATTGATAGCCCCAAGATTTATAGTCCTCAAAAAGATCTTGGATTTACTATAAAGTGTTGCTTAAAGAATCGAAAAAATATAAGGACATGTAAGGACAAAAACCATCACCCTAAAGCAACACCGAGTAGACCTGAACCAGTGTCAATGTCTACTCCCCCTTGGATCCTGAAAGAGGATTTGGACGAGCGTCGGCTCATGAACATCTCCCCGGCCAAAGCGAGCGCCACTGTGCGGTCGTAGTCCGCTGAGGGCCCAGTTACGCGCGTGTCCAGGCACATGCAGCCTGAGGAGCTCTCGATTTCGAGACCTGCGAAACCTTCCCAGTGTGGGAAAAAACGAATCCCAAACACTCCATGTATGCCGGAATTGCCTAGATAGGGCTGGTTTGGGGAGTCAATGTTGGCGTTGTATGCGGGAAAAACCATAAGTGCAAGACCTTTCTGGACCAAGGACCGAAGCACCAACCATGAACTGCCAAAACCTAACAACAATTTTGGTTACTCTCCGAGTCGCACACATGGAAGAGGATGGCAACACCTTTCTTGTATTCCCGTGGCCAATGGTTCACTTCCACGATTTCAGGGAGTGTAGGATCTTCCTCCCAACTCTTTTCTGGCTTTGAACGCTCTGTTCCGCCAGCCGTGCTGGTCTGAACAGGTCGTAATCCCCTCATATCCCGTCAGGCTGTCAGGTATTGGCCATCACAAGACAGTTGTCAGAATCTGGTCAAAATCAGATCAGAAAAGTTGGTGTAAACCTCAGACGCCGAAAACATCTTCACGAAATGCATCTGACAACCAGTTGCATCGATGACTTGAAACCGAGCTGCTGATGGCTGCCTGCCAGGCCTTTCCCAACGGCTGGAAAGCGCTGATATGCACCTCATCAGCCCGATGTTGGCTCTGATTTCGGTGCATTGACCCTTTAACACATCTAGCCATCATCCCAATCGGTCAGCAAATCCACCGACCCCGGCTAGGACGATGAACGTAAGTGTGAGCGGTGTTCCTGAGAGCGGCTCCGGTAAACGCTGGCCGTGTCCTCTGGTCCCACGTGCTCACGCCCAATAGACGCAAGTTTCCTACCTTGCATTACATTGTATTTATATATATATGGTGGTTGATCAAAATTCCTTCTTGCTGGCAGGCCATTCTTCGCGAAAAAAAATACTTTCGCGAATCTTTCGCGAACTCCATGTTTAACTTTCGCGGGGGGGTATACCCTCTAGAAATCATAGTGGTTCTACATAGCAGCCTAAGCACTTCCATCAAGCACCATTTTGGATCTGCAAACGAGGTTGCGGCACAAGGCAGATTGGCGAGAACTCTCAATCACCACCATTGGATGAATCAGCAGAACTGGTGGAGGACGAGCCGGAAGAGCTATCAACGGTTGTTGCGCTCATGTCTTGCTAGGTCTGTCGGACGCTGCTTGGCTTGGGCAGGGGTCCACAAAACAAACATTCACATTCGCCTATGCTTTCGCGGAACTTTCGCGAATCTTTCGCCAAAAATTGTCGCGTCATTGGTGGGTTTCTAGGCGCACAGCGTAACAACCAGTGGCAGCAGCACGAGGAGTAGTAAGAAGTGGTAGTCGTAGTGGTAGTGGCAGTAGCAGGAACAGCAGCAGCAGCAGCAGCTGCAGCAGCAGGAGGAGGAGGAGGGCATGGCTTCAAGCCTAAAAACTGCATGTATACCATATAGTATAATAGACTCTTTCGCAGATCTTTCGCCAAAAAAAAATTACTTTCGCGAACTCGAGAAAAAACTTTCGCGGACAACTTGAAGAGGCTCTCAGTGGCATAGGCCTTATGTCGACCTTTCGATGGACTACCATATACAAAAACACATGCACACATTACATGTATACGTATATACATAGCACATACATTGCATACCTACATCCCTACCTACCTACATTCATCCATCCATCCTTCCATACATGCATTCAGGAAATACATTGCATACATACATACCATACATACATTACAATACATTGCAGTACAATACCTTACAGTACATTAATAGTACATTGATACATGCAAACAAACATGCATACGTTACACTACATTACCTTACATTACACTAAACTGCACCGCACTGGAGTACATCACATGACATAATACACAAACCTGCTTTCAGCAACAACGTGGCCCCAACGTGCGGAAAGCTTTGCCCAACACAGGCCCATGGGCTTGAAAAGGCGGCTGAACGTTGGGAAACTGCGAGGATCTGGGGCCCGACCAGTCTGTGTCCTCATCCTCAAGTTGGCCGGCGCCCGGCTCAAGCCTACTTTGTATAAATATCCTGCTGACCTGCTTCGTGGAGCTTTCAGTTCCCAGTCGTTTCCGGTCACCAGTGTTGCAAGAAGGAATCTAACCCACAAAGCTTCCAAAATCCTTGGTTTCGCCAGCTTTGCAAGTAAGGAAATAGCGGCTACTGTAAGTCAAACTGCCACCTCTTCCCATTTAAGCGGTGTTCAAAAATGTGTTGTCTTTTCTTTCTGAGAATTCCAGTCTTATGGTAGGTCTCAGGCAAGGCTTAGGTTCATATTAATTTTCCTTGCGGCGCCACATGTATGCAAGGTTGTGCTTACAGCCAGCTGGCTTCGAGCCCAGCTGGCTTGAAAGCAATCAAATTGTGGCAACCTTAAGGCACCGTGCTTCCGCTGCAGAATTTTTACGGCTAACCTTATGGAAACCGTACAAACATCAGCTAAAATCATGGTCTGTTTGCACTGATTTTTTCCCCGGCCCTTCTATACTAAGAATGAAGAGGTGAATTTGGAACGCTGCTTATTTGTGTGCGAAAAGAGTGGGAGATGAAGAAGGGGAGGAACGAATCTGTGGTATGAACATCCGGCTGTGATTGAAGAGTGAACATGGTTCATCCATTCATCCATTCTTCTGAAACAAACATCTTGCTGTAAAAAAAAAACTCCAAGAATCTTGCTCAGGTTGGCGTCTTACTCGGGCACCAGTGGTTCCAAAGAAACTGGAACTGGTCGCCCGGCTCAACCCTGGTGGCAACATGCAGCATGTCTGTCATGTCTGGACTCAGCCCAGAAGCCATGTTCCCTACAACCCGAAACAATGGCTCGAAACATCGATGGTCAACATGGGTCCTCCAACTTTGGCGTCCTCCGTGGTCCTCCTGGTCCTGGCTGTTAAAACATCGCAAACGAGTCGGACTGTTCGCCCTGTGATCCTCACACGGCTGGTGCGGTGTGGGTAGTTAAAATTTGTTAAAACCACCCTTTCTCTGCAAGGTGCATCTTCCAACTTGTCGCCGAGAACAGCCAAGGTCTCTGCGGCCTTGGTTTGACTTCCAAACCGTTGCAGTGAAGACGTGGTCAAACATGTTATGGTAGATAGATCGGACTGAACAAATTCCAAGCACTTCTGGACAACTTGTGGATTTTGAGTATTTCTATGGTATGTGGTTTTAAAGTTTAGAGAAATCATAGCGTATCTTGCTTGAAAACAAAAACAAATCAGACTGAGACTTAGGTAGTTCTGAAGATTTCTTCTTTACTGACTATTCCAAAATGTATTGTGAATATGTTGTCCATACCAAATTGCCTTCCTCATGGACATGTAACATGCTCGGTAATGACGTTGGTTTCGTTTTTTCGCTTCAGCAAAGGTTGTTTGGACATCAGGTAGATGGGTGCACTATCAACCAAAGTTGGGCGCACCCATCCAATCATAAGAGAAAAGAACACCGTCAAATTGGGCCATCAAATCAAAGTAGTAGGGAACTTGCACCAGGCTGCGCAGGTGTTCCGGACCGTGGTGAGGCTATGGTCAGCGCCCCAGCAGCTATAGACTCAAGGAAATAAAAACGCCCTGGCCCCAATGAGTAGACTAGTCTATGTTCCTTCTTCCTGTGGGTCGTTGCCTGGGAGGTCTCCCTATTTTGAGCTATACACACGTGGAACCCCTTGGACGGACGCCGAGCCGACCACACGGTGTTTTTTTTTGGGGCGGTTCGGCGCGCAGCGAAACACGTTCGGGTATGGTAGGTATGATGTCATTACACAGAAAGATGGACAATAATATGGTCAGCGCAATGTACACGAATTAAGACGTACGGTATCATGTGGTGTGGTATTTCAACATGTATACACGGTGTAACTATATAAGGAAAATGCAAAGTGAATTCAAGGCGATCTTATGCACAGGCAAAGATATGGTATCTACAGGGCGCTTGGCACGACATAACGGCATGAATTCTGTTGCACGTAGTTCTACAGGTTTCGTACCTGACAACTGTTGCGACTGGGCTTAAAGTCTTTGAACAACACACGAAAAGGTTGCAGCTTCTGGCCTACGAGTCTAGGTGGCAGCTACCCAATCTCAGCAGAATTTATGTCTTTGGGTCCAGTTCAACCTTCACCAGGCATGCGGATTGGCAGGAGCATGCCGGTTGCAGGCCCCGGATGAGGCCCATTTGCGAAGTACAAAAAGACACATACAGTTTTAGCCTGTGCACAAAGGACAGGGTGTGGCTCCACAAAATGAGGGTCTTTGAAGATCCATCGTCGCGCATCGTCAAACGCCCGGGTCGACTCGGGCCCTCCTCACCTGGATGGCCGGAAGCCTTGCTCCAGAGTGAAGCTCGTGCTCGCGCATCTGATTCCCAGAACGCCTGAGCAGTTTGGACTCAGGTGTCAGGAGAGAAAAACTGGGACTATGTATGACTATACATGTTGAGTGTATATTTATACATATCATTACATGCTAATATACATATACGTGTGTACATCTCCCATATGGTTGCACGCCTTCCTCAAACAGGTGATCGTCTTTCTTCCCGACTGCCTTGCGTTACTCTTTCTCAACAAAAAGGCATCTAAGACTCTGAGGCGACTCCGCTATCCGTGTGAAACGAAAACAAAAAGAATCGTTTACCATGTGTTTGCCACCCTAATGTGTTTACCATGTGTTTACCATCGTTTACCATGTGTGTTACGATGTATCCGATATATTTGACGATCCCGGATATCCTAGCATATCCTAGCTATCTTCTGAATCCCGAAATGAAATAGCTCCCGCTGTTTGCGGTTGGAGCCCACAGACCTCGGCCAATTCGTCGAGGAGGACAACCCATCTGGACCCCGCATGCTGAGTTTCAAAACGTTGCATACAAAGCAAATCCTTTTCCCGATCAAATGCATGCACGCACTGGTCACAATCATGGTATTGTACGTCATAATTCAGATCCAACAAGTGCTCTCATCCGCCTTGAGGTGAAGACATAAATGACCACAGTTTCAATGAAGGGTCGCAAACGTGTCGTGACTTTCGTTTGTGGACCACACCTTCGTAACCTTTTCTTTGACATGTAGGCCATTGAATCATGGTCTCGAGGAGAGAAGGCATTAGTCCTCACCTGAACAACATCTAATGAATCTAATGCTTGATGAGCAACCCTCCATTTGGATTGAACAACCCCTTTCTCCTCTTCATATGTTTAAATGGTTTTTTACGGGTATTGAATCTATTAATCGACTGTCTACATGAGTCCTCAAAACAATGCGGAACGAATGACCGACGGACCGCCTCACTTCCTCCACAGGATCCTCCGGGAAGAACAATCGCTCCAAAGCCTCCACCGGGTGGCGGCGAACGGGCGGCGCCAACCGCGGACTGCGCGCCGTCCGGACAGATGGGGTGGAACACAGTGGAACACCTGCAAAACCAACCCAGAAGAGGTGGGACGCAGTGGCCAATGTCCAAAATGAGCTGCTGCAAAGTGATCTGCATGCAAATGAATTTGGACATTTGATGCCTACACCATTGCTTGAAAGTCAATCTGTTGGTCAAGAGACAATTTTTGTCCATTTACACTTCAAGGTCTGGGTATGGATCCGTTTTTTCTCTGCTTAAACCTCCCATTCCCCTGCTTGAAACCAAAAAAAACCTGGGGTTGTCATATTCATCGATTTCCGTTGTGTTCAAAACGTTGACTTCATGGGGTCAGGGCTCAGACACCTGCATCGACACCTCTTCCAACTAGATGCAAAATGTCTGCCAGTTCATTCATAAGCCATAAAACACCTCGAATATACTTTGGGTAAACCCACTACTAGTAATTAAGAATGGCTGATGATGATGCTGATGATGATGATGATGATGATGATGATGATGATGATGATGATGATGATGATGATGGTTAGTAAAGGCCTTCTTCAAAAAAGTGATACTGTAATTGTTTACCAACTGTTCCAGGTCAATGGACAAACCCTACATACATATATATAATTAGATACTCCAATTATCTCCTTATAAACCACAAAACACTCGTTGGGTATCGCAGGTCTCTTCTCGGCGATCTGCGGGGTGTCCAGGTCGCCTGCTGCGCGGCCAGCTGCTTGGCATCCTCCCGCTTCACCGCCAGGCCGGCGCCCGCCACGAAGCCGCAGTGGTGCACGTCACACGCGACCAGCGCGAAGAAGCGACCACGCTTCCTGGCAGGGAAGGTGGCTGGGCAGGTGCTTCAAAAGCAACTTATGTTTTCTGTTTTTTTGTTTTAAAGCAAGCCAGTGAAAGAAATGGACAGGTGTTATGTTCTGTATAGGAGCAGAAGGTGTTCTGAAAGTAATCAGAAGACACTGCTTGTGCTCTTCAATGTACTGCTGGATGGTATCATCTCTGTTGTTGTTTTGTTCACGCGATATTGAAATTCCCGAAATGGATTCGGGCACAGCACCACTGTTCCACCACATTTTGCAGCTTGGAAAGGTTTTGGATCAAGGGAGGCCTATTCGACTTGGTCAGTTCCTCCAATGGATTGTGGGGGTGGATCTTGGGTGAGTAGTGGGACACTCCCTATGTCCCTCCCCGACTAAAGCTACGAATCGGATCCTAAGCATGTATCCTTGAATGGTTACCATGCTTACCTAAGCAAACATGTCTCATCAAGCGTCATGATTCAGTTCTCTACATCCATTTCCAATTCTACCGTGTTTAAAGGCATGACATCCCAACCCGCAATCCGAACCCCCCATCAGTTCAGCAAGGGACAATTGCTGGATGGTGTAATTGATGTCGTTCAACTCGCCCTGACCGGCGGTGGATTCGGGGAGTTCGGGAACACCGAGAGTTGGGACGAAGTCACTTGTATAACTAAGATCCTCATGCAAAAGCCTGGGACGGATGGGTCGAAAGAATTGAGTCCCTCAGCTCAAATGTCTTGAGAGTATCAACCACTTTTGCAGGTCCCTGGACTCCTTGCGAAGTCCTGGAAATCACTCCAATTGACGAAGGTTGAAGACTTTCAGCTTGTATTTGAACAAAATACCCCAAGGGCCCTGCCCAACCTTCGACCATTGAAGACCTGGCCATCGACCATCACCGTCTTCCGTAGGTCAGGGTGACTCCAAAGGATCAATAGCAGTAAACAGGGGTTCATTCGGGTTCATTCACTGATTGGCTGTTCACTTGGGGATATACAAGCTTCTATCAATCAAACAACCAACCAATAGTAAAAGGCCATCTAGGCGGCAAGGACATCAAAATATCAAATCCTTGTCAAGCCCGACCCTTTGACAAAAAAGCATGTTCTCTTAGACCCGCTGACAGAGGCTGCCTACTCAGGGCACCTTGGACCAATCATGACAAACTAATTGAATTGCGGAGGTTTCATTTTAATTTTTCTGGAAACATGTGAAACCCGTGCGACCTCGACAATCTCCCCCGCGATCGGAGTGTTGCATGCAAAGATTGGAGTGGTCATACCTGAGTGTTGCAGCAGGTGCATGGAGTTTGTTGCATTCAAGTGGGATGACCATGAGCAGTCCATCTGATCCCATGATGATCATGATGTCAATGATGGGATCGGATTTCGTGATCGGATCGGATCCGCGCTTTAGCAGCACCATAAATCGGATGAACTGCTGATAAAGCCATCCCCAAAACTCCATGGGACGGGAAATATGCATATTCCAAAAATGCCTACATTTACACCTGAAACCACGTCATTGCTTGTGTCTTCGCGGGGTTCTCCACTCACGAACCAGAAAAGCGAACTTTCTTGAGTGCACAGTTTATGCATATCTCTCTTGGGTGTCCACATTGCATGTCCACTGTCGTACACCCTCTTTGGTGCTAAAAGAATGCTAAAACCAGGCGTCAACCAGTCTTCTTCACCGCTGACCAGCTTTGCCATGATCCCTTGCTCTCATAAGGTTTCGAAAAACACTCTGGTCAAACGCCGGCTGTGTCTGCGGCGACTGCCACTGAGGTGACTGATTCAAAATTCATCAACACAGCTTGGCAGAAATCGAAAAAGTGAACAAACAAACCTGGCATCCGAAACCTAGATCGCCCAGGTCTTGGCAGAAACATCAGAAATGGAGAAAACGACCATCACCTCGGCCCTGCACACCCTTGGACTCGAAGCCCACATCTGCTTCTCGCCTTGGTTCTCCAGGCTTCGAGCTGGTCCTTGGGACCGCGAAGCGGTGAGCGGAGCTTGTGAGTCTCATCTATTAGATCCACCAATGAAACACGGTGAAGTCATAGGCGTGATATGAGCCCCATCTACTAAAGTACAGTATATATATACTTGAAGCTCACTCGTGGTGGAAGTTTGACACAAAAGCAATGGATCTTGGAGCTATTCTCAGCATGTTGATAGATCTTGGGGCAGGCCCAAACATGCATGTAATGCATATCGTGTTGGCATTTGTATCACGCTCGAAAAATGATGCAGCGAATGCCTGGAAAACGTATTTTACATTGTCAGCAGGTCCAACAATCCTTCGTCCTTCAGCCGACCATGTGGAGCATCCAAAACCCAAACCTTCAATAATTGAATACAAGAATCAATAAACTCAACCATAGCTATGGACGGCTCCTTACAATACACAATGCAGTAAGTGGTCGTTCATGCGCATTGACTCCTCTGAACAAACATAAGTTTTCACACCTCTGACTACTCCAGAACAGTGCTTTCTACACTGGATCTATAGATTCTCACTGGACCATCAACCCAACTTGGGCAAGAGAAAACTACTTCCCAATCCTCCCCCAGTGAATCCTAGTTACCACTATATATGAAACAACCAGTGCGCCGTGACGGTTTCAGTCTTTGGAACTGCGAACGTTCGTGGGAACTGCCTAGAACCACTCCGTCTCAAGCCATCCACCAGGCCCGATCTTCACCCGGGGTCACTGGTCACCGTGGGGCCAGGTCACCGCGATCCGCCCCCGATGGGCCCGATCGGCCGTTCCGCCGTCCGATCTGCAGTGGAGAAGGTCCTTCTGCTTCCGATTCTGCGGCCGATGGGCAAAACTGAGCTTCCGGAATTCCATGGAATCCTTCGTAGATCCCTAATTATAGGACCACAGCAGGCTGTAAGTTCAAGCACAATTTGCCTTTTTTGGGGGTGGTTGGTTGGTATATAAATATATATAGGTTTTCTCACCTACTTGTCATACCTCTCATAGTTCCACTAGTTCCTCTTTCCAGGTCTCCACCGACTCATGTGAGATGTGCTCGAAGTGAACCTCCATCAAAGGCCGCAGCTCAGCATAGTCCGTCACCCATGGATCAGTGGCGTACTCCAAATACTTCACCTAGCGCCAGCGATGGAAGGCTCCAAAGGTGGGCGGCACCCAAAAAGAGGGTCTGACAGCTTGAATGGGCAAGCACAAGTAAATAAGGAAGGAAGTAAGTAAGCAAGCAAGGGTGTGGGTGTTTGTTTGATGGAACAGTTCAACGGATTGTGCAAACAAACAAGGTCATGGATGAATGGACTTGGAATAATCCGACCAGTTTCTCTTTGACTTGCTTGAGGAGGCACAAAGGGGAAAACATCGCAAAGTGAGGGAATAGGTAACATTAACATGTCTTCCTCGTCCTACAACAGAACATCCGGCGCCCCCCCACAAAAGGTCTCTGAGAGCCTGGCCACTAGCGTCATGCACATCTGCATGGCTCCTTTTTTCCACCATGGGGCACTCATATCAGTCCTTGAACGCTTTGCCAAGTGGAGCCAGCTCATCCCATGCCCAGCTTCACTCTATGCTTTGCTGGACATGCGGGCAAGACCATATTGCTTCAAAAGCTCAAGAACATCATGCACATCGGCCATGTGAAGATCAACATAGTCGGGATCCATGGACTCTGAAGTTGGGATGGGTTGGGATTTCAAGGCGACCAATGGACCTCTCCACAAGGCAGCATGCGCTGCACCCAGCGTGTCACCCTCGTAGAGAGCTCCAAAAAGCTTGGCGATGCAAGCGTTCTCTGCTGATCCATCAAGCATGAAGCTATCACGGTAGCGCAAGTGGATCGGCTGTGCCAAATGAGCGATTGGCTGTCCCTTCAAGAACTGGCTACAAATGCCTCCAGCAGACTCGTCATCTCCAAGGTATGGATTCAAAAAGGGCAGGTGTACTACCCGGTATACCCCCTCATCCATATCATCGTCAAGATGCTTTTGCAGCTCCACGTGGATGATGCGCGGGTGCTTCTCCTTCTCTGGGAGCAACATTGCGGTCACGTGCATGCCGGCTGGCTTGCTTGGGAAAGGGTGAAGAGAACAAAACGCCTTGTGAACCCTCCACTCCTTTCGTTGGCACGTGTCAGAACAATAGGCTCTAGACCCACACTTGCCACATCTTTTGGTGCCAGGCTTCCTGCACATTGGACAGGCACCTTGGCGAACTTGAGCAAGGCTGCTGGTCACATGCGGCTTTGGCACCCTCAACGGCAAAGACTCAACCTCCTCCTCTGTGACTCCAAAACGCTTCAAGTACACTGCCATAGTCTGGTCATCCACTTGGGTTCCAAAGCCGAATCTGCCGGTGTGAAGATCCAAATAGCAACCCCCGCCATCTCCAGGACCGACCTGGTGTGTGACATCGTTCACTTCCTTGGAGGCACTGCTATCGTACCTGAGGCGTTGGTCGTAGACGGAGAGGAAGACGTTCGCGAGGCCGGGATCCTCCTCATAGCCATAAGCCACCTCGATGGGATTGCCCGGAATGACAAAGCGAGGCATGGCGGACCAAGCGACTGATGGACCGACTGCTCAAGCCGATTTCCATGGAGCAACACGTATGGTGAACCAACTCCAAGAGAGAATTCCAAAGGATTGTCTTTGGAGCAAAGGAGTGCATCGTCTGGGAATTCTCCTATGTTCCCTTCATTCATTCCGACTGGTACGTCTGGGTCCTGGACCGTCTGGGTCCTGTGGGTCGAAAGATGTAGAAGACGTGGGTTTCATGATGTCCAAACAACAGGAAGCAATCCAGAAAATGGGTTCAAGAATGTTCAAGAGTAATTTACGTCGCTTTTTTTGTAACGCATCAAGACCTGTCAGAATAATACACATAAGATCAAATAACATATAAATACACAGGAGTCTTCCTGATTCTTCCTCATCCCCTGCCTCATAAGGACGGTTCGGGCGCTCTGTTTCCTACACCTCCCACCACTGTTTCCACAGTCTTCACTCCTCCCGTGCTGGCTAAGACAAGCCAGGCTGGCCAAGATGGGTTCCGAACTTTTCAGCTCCTGCAGCAAACCTTTGATCTCTCTCCTCAGCTGCCAAGAAACGAGGACGATGACTCATGGCATCTCATGGCCACCCACCCGCTCCACCCACCGCCACCGAGTGGTGGTGTGTTGGAGTACGCAAAACATCGGCAAAACAGGCTTACCAGGAAGAACTCTGGGTGGGTGGGGGTCAACCTTTCTTGGTTGCAGTCATCATGACCGAGAGATCTCAAGATTTACCTTTGACAGCAGCTTTCCCACTGTTCAGAGTTGAACTGAGTCAAAGAACTGGCAGAACGCTCCTGGACTCTGTGGCTCGGATCATGCGGTCATATACCAAGGGCCAAGGGGATGCAGTAACAATTCCTGGCGTTTCGGGCAGAGCTCACTCATTGTCACTTGTTCATATTGCATGATAGATCTAGGGTATCCGTTTCATTCAGTTTCCTGAATCTACAACAGTTCAACATAACCAAGGTGAGTAGTGCACATTGATATGTCTTGTGAGATATTGGGAGAAGGGGAACCAAAGCACACTTGCGGGAAACCGAGTTGATCCTGACTTTAGCAAATGATCAACTGCTCTAATTTAAAGAACCAAACAATGAACGCCCTCTTTGCTTGCCACACCATTGCGGTTCAATTGAACTCACTCAGTGGAACCATCATTTACACTAGAACTGCCTACCTGTGGAAACACAGGGCCCGCCGGAAACGATTGCTTGCGTTTGCTGTCGTTGTTTGACCTGTTGGTGTTTGTCGTCTGTTGCTGTTGTCCCTTTATTGCTTCGCTTTTTTTGTTTCGCTCCCGTTTCGGTTGATGGAATCAGTGAGTGGACCTACAGCTACGGAACAGTTACTGTATATATCCCAGATCGATCTTACTGAACACACATTTTCTGGAAACGTTTGGGTGTGAAGCTTTCCGCAACAAATATTCCCTAGCGAGTTGAAACTATTCCAAACCTTGTGGATACACTGGAAGCTGGGATATTCGACCATGGCCTCAGTCCAGCTCATGACCGCCCAAATAATATCAAGAAAAACAAATCCCTTTCAATTAAATATTGAAAAGCGTGTCCTTATCTATTTGAAGACCACAGTAGCTGGTCAAAACGATTCAGTCTGTCCGAGGCTCTTGGGCCATTTGTGGATGGTCCCTGTCACAGGCGCTGCCGGCGCTTCAGCTGTGGTGGTCAAGCCTCTGACCTGTGGTCAATGATGGCCAATGGCTCAAGAGCCCAGGGTACCCGAGTCGAAAAATCATGGTTGTGTAGAGAAATAGGGACCCCCCTCCCAAATCCCAGGAACAAACATGTACACCACCGGGTTTGATTCGCACACCCACATGAATCTGTTCTTCAATCGGTAATGTTGGTAAGCAGAGACGGCGCCTTTCTGGATCTTTCTGGGATCAGTTCGACCATGACCGCTGCGAATTCCATTCTCTTTTGGAAGTCACCCATCTGCAGGGTTCGACCGAGCCGGCGATGATTCGAGTCAGAAGCGATTCCAAAGGCATCGGAAGCATCGGAAACACCGACCAAAAGGACTCTCATGTTGAATGCAGTGCAAGACTCCTTCTCTGAACGGTCCAGGTTTAAAACGGGGGAGGTTGTTTCAGGTAGTTTCTAGTTTGCTGACAGTGCTCACGTGCGGGATTCTCTGGCTCGGTGGGGCATTCCATGGGAGCATTCCATGAGCATTCCGCATTCAATCTGCTTGTAGGTGGAACCACTCAACTTCACCCAAAACAACACAACCAACACCATCCAATACTCAGCAGGTCCCCAGCAGAATCGACCTTTCTGATTCCGGGCTTTCAGTGGGGTATCCTCTCAAACCCTAGAGGAGTCGGTGCAAGTGCTGGTATACCCAGCCCCGCCATAAAAGAATTCGGAACATGATCGCATGATCTCATGACCTCCCCAACGTCACGTCGGAGATTCTGCACGACCTTCCGGTCACCAGCTGAGACAGACCCTTCGCCCCTTCCCTTCTTCCGCCCAGCCGCTTTGGTCAGCGCCACTCCAACGCCCACGGACCCCGCCGCGCGACGGGGTTCCCACGAACCACTCGGGCGCGTGCTCCGCGCGCGGGTGCTCCGCGGCGCGACGCTCGCGGCGCTGGCGCGGGGCGTCAAATGCAGCGGAGCCGTGCGTGCACAGGTGGTCCACATGGGGCGACGGGAAGTCTGTGTCAAACCTCAGGGCTTGGTGTGTATGCAATCTTGATATACGCAAGGATCTCTATGCCATCTTTCGTGATAAGGTCATATAGTATCGTATGTTCTTAGTGTCTTGATGTTCTTAGTCGTAGCATGTGTGGGTTCATGCGATGTTTGGCGCCAGGTCTTGATCAAGTTGCGGTTCCACCTTGCTTGGTCCGGGTTTGGACTGGGCAAATTCCAGTGCTTCTGGAAGCCTCTGTGAACTGGGATGCTTTACATTTATATCTGCGGTCAAGTCTATGCTGATTTTTTGGCATCTGTTGTCTCTACTCAAATCGCTTTGGTTCCAATTCCACAGCGCCCCATGCAAGCGCTTGCAAGCACGCTAAACAGCTCCCCACTTATCAGCTGAATCAACATCTGTGGCACGCAAATCGCTTCGTCGGTCTGGCACTGTCTCGTGACATGAATCTTCCTGTCTCATCAACTTCCCTCTTCGATGTAATTTGATGTCATTTGGTGAAGCCAACGCTGGCGAGAGACATCATGAGACCTGGCCAATAGATCAATATGGTGACCCAGGACAAGAACTTGAAGAACACCAAGGGATCCACATGACATCTACAAAGCATTACAAGAAAAGATTCAGCACAAATCATGCTGGAGAATGATATGTTCTGTCTTCACAAAAGCACGTCCCCTTCATCACACACAGTACAAAGCCGCTGTCAACAAGCTTTGGTGCTTACTAATTACTTAGGACTTATCGGTGGAACCTTCACCTTCAGTCCACCTTTCATGCATTAAACAACCTGTGAAGGTGACAGTGAATTCCAAGAATCGCATCTGATGTTCACCAACCCCTTTCTCTTTCTGTCCACTAGGGGTTGAATCCTGGTGTGTCTGGTGCGCATGTCACAAGTCCAGCTACCTACAGTAGATTTAGAACAAACTGACCAAACAGGAACCTCGTGTCGGATTTGTTGGGCAACCAACCCTCTTCCCTTCTAGTTCTCAAAATGAAGTAGAATAAACCCAACCATCAAGATGCCTTTCATTTTGACCTCTGGCACATTGAAAACACTCCTTGAATCCATGTATCGAACACTCACCTACATTGACCCCTGAAATGCCCAATGGATAGGTAAATATTCCATATACATACATACATACATACATACATACACACACATAATACACATATTAAAATATAATATTATATGAACATGGAGTATCTGGCAAATAGATTTGGTCGAAAAGTCAATGGGCGGCAGGTGCAGTGTCGTGTGTGTGTAGTCTCTTTTGGTTTAAGAACCTTATCCTGGATACGGTGCCATCTTGTGCGCATGCTGCAGCATGAGCCTATTGACTTGGTGGCCAAAGAAGTCAACCAAACATCCTCCAACGATTTGACCCCTCTGCCCCTTCTGCCACACAGTAAGACCAGTAAACCGCTAAGGGGTTCACATCGCGATCTGCTGTGAGGATACGCGTCGACCGCTGTGGTGATTCTTTGGGCCTGGAACTGACTGGGCATCTCGTTCCCAAACACTCTATCGGCTTATGGCACATGACTCCATCTCCAGGGTCCCCAAACAAATGTGCGCATGGGTGAACAAAAGGAATTGACTCAATTAACATTGTACATGATCTTCCTTTCATGTAGACCCTTGATTCACAAAACTCTCCCCATGAAGAGGTTTTACAATCCAGGCTGCTGGGCTCAAGGCCTTAAGCCTGAGGGAGTGCCGAGACCCCAGGGTCCTGTAGCTCTCATTCAATTGAGAGGGCAGGACGTCCAACAAGGCTTAGGCCATCTCGCTTGTGACCGTGAGTTGGCCTTTGTCCTTGTTGATACGCGCCATGGATCCGTGGTTGGATGTTCTGCAGATGGCCGACAAGATGCTCACCCAGCATCGCCTGGCTGCATTCAGGGAGTTCCTCCATGCACATCGGAGTCGCTGCCCCGGTCCGGTGATCGAGGGTGCGATGTGCATGGTTGGCTACATCGTGTCCATGTGCTCCGACACCATCCAGCTGCAGCGGAAGCCTTTTATCCCGTGGGAAGGCTTCGTGACCTCCGTCGACAATGTGGATAAGGTCAAGGTGACAATCCCCAAGCTGGGACGAAGACCGATCAAACTCCATGTGGGTTCGGAAATCATCATCCTTGGCAAAGCTGTGGATCATGGAGATCAGCTGTCCTTTGGTGAGGAAGCAATTCTTCTGCACAGGCCATGCTTTGATCGTACCCTCCCATTCAACGCATTGCACCTCTTTGCAGGTGCTTTTTGTGGATGGGCTAGAGCCCTTGGCTGGTTGCATGATCATGTTGATGGAGTCGCATGTGGCTCTCAAGTGAGCGTTGATGCTGATGCTATGGTGCTGGAGACTTGGTCCAAGCAGCATGGATATGAACACTATGTTGGAACTACGTCCCCGTTGTCAGCTTGGGACCCCACCGAACACATCGGCATTTGCACTCAGGTCAGTGACAAGACCTTGCTACGACGCTGTCTTTGGCCGACAAATGTCATTTCCACAGTGTCTCCACCGTGCGTGTCCTGGTCCAGGGGAGGAAAGCGAGAAGGATTGAACTGCACGCCAGGCTTTGCTGCTTTCGATGCTGTACAGACACTTGAAGTTCAGCAACCTTTGCTGATCTTCTTCGAATGCGCAGATGAGGTGATGTCCCATGATCACTTCCAATTATTTAAAGCAGCCCTCCGAATCATTGGCTATGAGCAAGTGTGGCAACAGGTCGTTCCTCTCAACAACCTCACGCACAACTCCAGGTCTCGCTGGCTCGCCGTCTGGCGGCGAAAGGACTTCGCATGTGATCCCATTCATGCCACGGTCATCCCACGTGCACCACCCTTGACTTGGTGGAATTCGGTCCTCAATCAGTTTTGGGCCCCTGATTGCATTCGAGAGCAGCTAATTCTCGATCAGCATGCCATGTCAAAGTACGGTGACCCACAATTACTGCCACCAGCAAAGAGAGCCCGACTCCAGTCCGGCACGTGCAATGAGGTTCTCTCCAAACGCATTCCTCCGCCAGGAGAGCCACTGCCTACCTTATGCAGTTCGTACACAACGCAGCACCACCTTGCTGTCGACCACCTGACCGACAAAGGAATCTTCGCATGTCTCATTAAGAGTGGGCCGGATTTTGAGTTTCTGAGCCCCTTGACTTTCGTGCCATTGCTGGGTACCACTGACCGCATTGTCCTGCCGTGTTCGGTCCCACAAGCTTTTCACTTTTTAGGCAATGCGATAGCGCAGCCACACGCACTCCTTGCCTTGTCCATCGGGTTCATTGCTCTCAAGCTGACCCCTGTCACCTTGAGTCAACTCATTCGTGATTCTTGGAATGACCGCATGACATCAGCCAATGCCATCGTGCACAAGCAAGGTGAATGGATCACAGTGCAGAAGTTTGATGAGTTCCTCAAGGGTCTGACTTTCGGTTCTTCCTGCTGCCTCAGCCTGAGAAAGCTTACACGTGTGTACGTCTTTCCAAAATGACCAGTCCTGCATCCAGAGATACTAGCGTTCTTTCACAGGCCACTCTGCATGACACAGTCCGCCAGATTCTGTCTTTCGGAGAGATTGATGAACGTGAGGTCACTTTCGCTTCCACCGCTGGTGACATCCCAGGCCATGCCATCATCTCCCATGTCCTTCGACAGAATTCGACCATTATATGCAAATGGCGTGAGCGCATCTTTGCAGAGCTCTCTACTGGAGGACGGCTGTTTTCCGAGGTCATTCCACCTGATGAGGAGGTCTCTGCTACCATCCCCTTCACTGCTTGTGAGGAGGAAGCACCAGCTGACATTGTGTGTGGATCCATGACCTTTGAGCAGTTGCGACAAGTTCCAACCTTTCTCGAGGCCCTCACCTTCGTTGAACAGCACCACAAGCAAATGAGAGCCTGTGAAGATGTGACAGTCTCTGCTGCACTTGCATGGGAAGCACCGGCAATGGTCTTCAACATTCAGATTGTCCGCGATGATCCAATTGGGTGCCTGCAAACTCTGCTTGATCAGCTTTTCCCAAGGAAGTACCAGGTCTACATCAGCCCGGTCAAGCTACCCCGTGTAGCCAATGGACCCCTCATCCTGGTCAGAGAGTTTGACCGTTCGTCTGATGCACTCGTCCTCATCACAAGCAATGCTGATGCAGTCGGTGTCCATGTCAAGACTGTGCCTCGGTCGCTTTCTGCGGCCACTGTGTGTGTGCTGCCTGCTGGTGCGCCTCTTGATGCACAACTACCACCCGATCGTTGAAAACAGTGTCTACTGCCATACTGGGGATATCTTGACGGTCGCAAAAATTGAAGCTCCAGTGCACGCAGGCGGGCACCACCTCGCTGATCGTGTCGATCCACTACAATCAGGTGCCTCGTTCAGCCAACGAGCTCAATTCTCAGCCAGAACACATGGATGGGCAGCGTCGGATGAACTCTTGGCCGGTCTTGGCCTCTTGCAGCAACTTGCCCCTGAATTTCTGCACTCTTTTGGCATTCAGATGTGGCGGCCGGGGCTCGTCGAGTTCGAGGAAGGACCTTTTGGGGAGATGCATTTTGCCCCTACTGGGCTGTCCTGTCTCATTCTGCTAGTCGGAGCGCATTCGGCGTCTTGACCGTGTTCGCATTGCCGTGAGTGGTTTGCCCCAACATGCAGCGCAGAGGGTCGCCATGATCACGTGCCGTCTCTTGGATGTAGCGCCACATCGCGCCGCTTTGGACTTTGGTTTTGTGCAGGCCACGCCACATATGTGTGGTTGGACTATCCTCTTTCGCCTATTTGCCAGAGCGGAGGCCTTGGATTACTTGCCTGATCAGAGCTATTTGTGGTCCATCTTGACTCCCAACGAGCAGAACATCATCAACCAGGTCCTTGCTGCCTCTCAGAACCAATGGCTTGCAGTGAGTCAGGATGCTGCGTTGCGTGGTTTTGCATACAACACGCGACTCCAGTTCTTCATTGGGCTTGCCCTTCAGG